TGCGAACAGAGCCATTTGTTGTAAATTTTTCCCAATCTGTTAATCAAGCTTACATGCAATTGTTGGAATGTTGTAGAGAACTTATGCGTAAATATTGAAATCTTATAAAGAACCTCTAGCCTGGTAGTTAAGCTAATGTGTTTAAATTGTTAAGCTACTCCCGCTATATAAGAAGCAGGATCAGTCAGGCAAAAGCTCAAGCAGTCAGTCACTCAATCCACAACTCCTGCAGTTTCGCAATTCGACAGGTCGGTGAGTTACTCAATCAGACAGCCCGCGCAATCACTCAAAGAGACAGTATAGTCAGACACTCAACCACGACAAAGAACGACAATACGACAGTTCAACAGCAGGAGTGACAAGACCATTTGATATCCTTTAATACTTATTGTGTATTGTTCATTTCGTCCCTATTATTGTTTCAATACGATATTGTACCATATCATATAAGACTAATAAAGGTTACTATCAACTTTGCGGAGTATAAATTACAAAATCTTCCCTCGACAATTGTATTCAATTAGGAAGTAAAGTATTATATCATTTGCATCGAAGATATAGAAAATATACTTAGCACAAAGTAACATTTGTGTGCACTAACAATACGTGTTTGAATTCAAATAACAGGCCATACTGTCAAGTCATGATATCACTGTACCACCTTATCAGTATCACTGAGACTACTTTTTTTCTGATGTATTAAACATTCGTTAAGTCAATCATTTCACGGATCTTTTATTAATTCACTGCGAATAAATCCTTTTACTGTAGCATGTATTGGAATTGGAACCACACGATATCAACATATTTAGTAAGGTAAGGTATCATTTTCTATCATTTGACTGATTTCATCCGAAGTTATAAAGGAGTACTTCTAACAATGATAGCTAATTTTTAAATCAGCAATTTGAAGTTGTATAGTGAAGCCTTTATACCACCAATGGTATATACTGCATCAGAATACTACAGATATGTTACAAAATACCATTAAGGATTTGAAGAAGCTGCAAGCAAATAAAAATGAATAGGTGTAACAAGTAAGAATCGATGGGTTGAATGAAAACGAAAAAGCGTTTCAAGCAGTGTTTCTCAACAATTAGCACAGACACCAAATCAGCCGATTTCTTCATTTGCTTTAATTTGTTGAAGGATTTTGATTAATAAAATAGTGAAAAGGGGAAATTTTAACATGGAATGCAAGTTGTCAATAAAATTGAATATGAAGAAGCTAAAAACAAGGTGAGAAACAAGATTGTAAACACCACGGCCGATATCGGATATGAAACTGATTCCAAACTGTCCTTCTAATATTTGAAGCTGTTCGGATGGAATTCAAAACTTCCTTTCGGAGTATTCCGGAGATAGTATAGTCATGCAAGCAAGGAGTAAAATATCTGGAAATGAATTTCAACTAATTTATCTCAACTCGGTCCCAGGTGATCTTCCGCAACAAAGGCGATTATTTTCAAGAGTTTAAAATGGGAGATTTGGTAGACGGTTTACAGATCTGATTAAAATAACTGAACAGAACTTCAATCTCGAAATCCCGTGAAGAATGGTTGTAGTTTTCCGTGACAGTGAGCCACGGTTTTTTTTTGACGTACTACTCGTCACATAACAGAGTTGAAGTTTTTTTTTCCTGACTATCCAAATTCAAAATTTACATTCTTTTTTTGTTCATCTGTCCAATCAATACTTTCATCTCTAACAGCCATGCTCAAAAGAACACGGAAACGTAAACTTCATTGAACAAAACCAAAAACACTGATGTTTAAAATTTAGAATTCAGATTGAATTTTTGTACGACATTACTTATGTCTGAAGATGTCACTAACGGTTGATAAATAGATTTTCGGCTTTCTTGCTTACATCAACAAACACGACAAGTTTCTATCACTAATATTAGCGATTTTTAATCACCAGTTTTATAGTCTCAAATATCTGACTTTTCTTCGGTCAGAATCAGTTCAAATATTTAAACAGTTTTATAGTTTCAAATATCTCAGATATCAAATATAGAGTAAATTTCAGCTTCTTCAAAGCATTTGAATGGCTGTGGACGTAATAACGGTCAAAAGCCAACCCATGTACTGAAAAATTTGGAGTACTCGAACTAAATGGTAACTAACTGGAACTTTCCTTCAGTCAGAATTAGTTTGAATATAGTTAATGATCCACTTCAGTAAATTTAGAAATTGACATGCTAGCGTCGTTATTAACTTCTATGTTCACGGATATAAAAATAAATCTTCCTCGAAATTCCAAATACATATCATAAGCAAGGACGAAAAAACTTGGACTTTTCTAGGAAATACTCTGATATGACAAGTAGTGCAATCACTGATAAAATGACCCTTTTCCCGGGTCAAAAAACTTCCCATAAGCCAACTTCCCAATACTTTTTTTGAATATTGGAGGAGATGGGTACACCGAGTGATAAAAGATCGAGTAAACAAAGTGCTAGGGAAGAGAAATGAGTTAAAAAAGGTTGCGTCAAGTTACGTATGCTGCCGTATCAGAGGTGCCGATGGTGCGACTGTTGTTGTAGCTGCCAATACCACTCTTTCATTGATTGAATTTTTCTTTCGAACAGAAGTTACTTCCATTATTTTGAAGTCATCCTTTCTTCACAGCTTTCGTTATCTTGCTTCTTGTGTCATATGTTCAATTTTTTCTTTTTAATCCACGATTTGTGCAATGAATTGCTGTTTGGAAAGTCTTCTTTCCGAGAAATTCGAGAATAATCGACTAGCTTATCACGGTGAATGTGGTGATGTCTGACTAGACAGCATAGAAACATGGTACAATGAGTTCTGAAAACCTGGAAGATGTCCTATATAGCTTTACTGGAACCAGGTCAATGGATATAATGAAAGGACAATTAGTGATTGGATTAAAAGGAATGCTCTTTTGGCTGAAAGGAGGTGACTTGTCTTGTTGACTGGAGCAGCTATGTATACCACCTCTGATAAGGCACTCATCAGGAGATTCCATTTGTAGAAGTGATAAGATGCCAAACTAGTTGGTCTGAAGAGATTAGAATTTTAAGTAAACCACCAGGCAGACCATCGCAGAGAGTTTCCATGTTTCTGGAGTCTTGGAAATATGGAATCAGTAATATGCTGCTGATTTTTAGACAAAAAGAAAAGATGAGTACGGAATCAAAAGCAAAACCTGACGAATCCAAAATGAAAAAAGCCAGCAAAGGTAATATCCTAATACTTGAAAATAGAACGGTTGAGTAAACAGTTTATACTATGATGACTGAGAGTTACTTGACCTTCCTCCTTATGCTAATTACACAGAAAAATTAAAATCATAATCTAGAGAAATAAGGTAGCATCCTTATCACCTTTTTCATCGTATACATATTGATGAAATCTTAATAACTTAAAACAGAATTTTAGCAGCGGCATACGGCATGGAAACGGACACCATGACGTTACAACGCTTCGTTCTTCGAAATCAACGAAAGCATCCCACAGCAACCGGTGATCTTACTAATCTCTTGACATCACTACTTACTGCTATTAAGGTAAATTACCTTAACTTTTCGAATTTGAGCTGAAATATTAGTAATCTAAATCACTGTAGATATATGCTTCAAGAGAGCCAGAATAAGATACTTCAAGGAGCTTAAATTGAGAGATGGTATTTGAATTTTGATTGTAGGAACAGCACTTCGAGAGTAATAATTGGAAAGACTCCATTATCCATTGACAGTTATAAGTAAAGTAACTTGTTAAACTGCGAATCTGAGTAGTGAGCTGCAATCAAACTTTGAAAATGACTTTGCAAAGTAGAGTGAAATGTTGTAAAATTTGTGAAGAAATTTAGGCGATTTCAAGTGCAGTTCGAAAAGCAGGTATTGTACGATTGACAGGATTAGCAGGCAAACAAAACATACAAGGTGAAGATGTCAAAAAATTGGATATTATTAGCAACGAATACATGATCAACATGCTTGAATCATCCTACACTACATGCGCAATGATTTCGGAAGAAAATGATGAGGTTCTTGAACTTTACTCATCTAATAATTTCTTGAATGACCATATCCGCCTTTTCATTAAAATAAATTGTGGGAATAGTTCTGAAAAATATATGGCATCGTAATTTTACCTGGCAAACCGTACTCATATTTCCATTACTTCTTTTGCTCCTTAAATTGCATGGATGATTGGAATCAAATTTCGCAACATCGTAATGATAGTATTAATGATATGCAAATAATATTTAAATTACATAATTTCAAGCTGATCAAAGTAGCCCCTTCTAAACAAGGTAAGTATATCGTGACCTTTGACCCACTGGATGGATCGTCAAACATTGACTGCTTAGCATCAATTGGTACAATTTTCGGAATCTACAAAAAACAATCGGATAGTCCAGTTTCCACGGTTGATTTTCTACAAAGTGGACGAAACATGGTTGCAGCTGGTTACGCTCTGTATGGTTCCGCCACTATGCTCGTGCTTTCAACGGGAAGTGGCGTTAACGGATTCACACTCGATCCTGTACGTTCATCATTTTTCTTCCATTTCAATCAGGAGAAAGAATTCTATAAGCCTATTCCTTTAGTCTGGAGCTTGAGATATGATCATTTAAAGCTGCTCAAACTCACTACAGACACTCCAATTTCACTAGTAAAGATCGATTTCAACTCTCACTTTCATCGAAATTTTTTTAACGGATTCTAGAATTCCAGAGTGTTGGTGAATTCATCCTAACAAATCAACAAATGAGAATACCGCAAAAAGGTGAAATCTATAGTATTAATGAAGGATATACATCTAAATGGTCCAAAGGTGTCCAAGAATACGTACATACCAGAAAATATCCATCAGATGGTGAACCTATGAATGCACGCTATGTTGGATCCATGGTTTCTGATATACACCGTACTTTACTTCATGGTGGTATTTTTATGTATCCTGCAATGAAGGATAAGCCAATGGGAAAGGTACTTTTTTCTCCGTAACTTTTTTTCATCGATCGCAGAGCAGTTTAGCTTGATTCCCAACATCAACTAATTAAGGGAATCTGCTAGCCGTGAAGCAATGTGTTTCGGGAAATTTTCACGAATATTTTCTAGTGGACAATATAGTAATCTGTATTGCAAGCCAGGTATTCAACGTTGTGTGAGAAAATTAGTGTCCTCTAATGATGAATAACCAACAGTTTGTACAGTTTGTTGCTTAGTGAAAAAGGATGAATGGTTTGATTCATTTTGGAAGCCAAACTATTAAAATTAACACTCAGTTTAGCTTCGGCTTCTCTACGAAGGCATTCCAATGTCATACATCATAGAAAAAGCTGGTGGAATGGCAACGAATGGAATTAAACCCATACTTGATATTGTGCCAACATCAATTCACGATCGGAGTCCAATATTCCTTGGTTCTCCCGATGATGTACAGGAACTTATGGATTTCATCAAGAAATATGATTCATAAGAAGCATGGTGAACTAAACAAAAACTATATTAGATTCTCGAGATTCTTTTTGCTTTTGCGTGATTTACACCTTACTTTCTCGCAATGAATTTATACTATGTAGATAAAGATAACTCACCTGTAAAACTTTGTACGGTTTTGATAACATTTTGATATATTAATCTAAAAGGAGGAATTTCGTCTCAGCTGAAAACAAAAAAAAAAAAAAAAAACTTGCAATACCACCAATGAAAGAATGGGACTTTCCGGAAAGAATGGAAACTGTAGAACAGTTTTCTTAAATCTATCACTATACATCATGTTAATTTGGAAGACAACTTAAAGACAGTGAAACAAAAGACAAAAATCAATAGCGTTTTTTTTAACAAGCCGAAGACTTGCCGAAGAAATTTCTAAAACAAAACATAGAATTAAAGGAGAAGTCTTAGGAATATTAGAATCAATCTTACTGCCTACATCGCAGACAAGTCACCATTCAGTAATAACCGGCTAATTTTAGCAAATTTCGTGGAAAACTAACGAAATAACAAGAGATTTGTCGAACAAATACCAATGCAAGACAAAGCGTAACGAATTTGTCAGCCTCATCTAGAGGTATTCAAAAAATTTCAACAAAAAATTATAGTAGTATAACGCAATAGTAACATCGAAAATGTTTTTTTCAACTAGAGTAATTGTGCCTGCACGCCAAAACAGGAACGAAACCCACTTTTTTCAAGGCTTCGTTAACAAAGCGTCCAAGAGAAAATGATGACCGCATCTTGGATTACAGGGTCAAAAGCAAAGACGGTAGATCTAAAAACCAAACAAAAAAGTATGAAAAAAGTTTCTAAATAACGCAATCCCACTATTACAAACCTTTTAATTCACTAATTAATAGATAACTGTTACTAAAATTTGAGCATAGAAACATGGAAATCAATAACCATCATGTCTAAGAGTAAGATCCAATTGAACAATGTAAGCTGCCCTAGCTTACCGCGTCTTTGCTGATCATAACAGTTGCAACTTCCTTCAAGGGAAATTGTTTGAAAAACCGATTTTCGTCCTTACATAATTTCAAAAGCCAAACAGTAATCCAAGCTCAAATCTGAAACTGCATCAGTACAGCAATTCTCGGAATGTGAAAACATTGTAGTAGAAAGACAACTGTTCAGAGAAGCACTAATGTAATGGCCCAAACAATTGTATGATTTACAGCAGTTAATTCATTAAAACTATCTGGGATAAAACGTTCTACGTATTAACTATCAAACCAGTTTCCATCATTTTCCTTCAAGATGCTCGCATAACTTTCACGGGAATTAAATCCTCACAATCACAGAAAAAATATATATAAAAACAAAATATGCAAGCAGTTATACTGGGAAAAGCTTGATTGATTGCCAGAACCGTAGCACATGACAAGCTAACAACAAAACGTATGCGTTCAAACCCAAATTTACAGCAAATTAAAACTGAGTTCAGGAACTTGGAAGGTATAAAGTCCTCAACAGTGTGTGTACCCGACTCTAAAACAATCCGATCCTTTTCTAGATGTAACTAAATATCAGAGAGAATCCTATCTTTTCAAAGTTATTCATCCTTTCACTTGAGTGAGACAAACAAATGATAAAAGTAAACTGCGAAATTAGCAAGAAAGGTGAAAAGGTGCGGACAGGACAGTCGTGAATTGGAAAGACAAAAAAAATCATAGAGCAAACAATTGAGTATGAAGAAACAATTAAACGAAATGTGGGTGTAAACGAGCAATAACAGACAGGTCGAACTATAGATCAGTTCTATGGTATCAACAAAACGATTGAAATGAGGCATATCTGACCGATATAGCACGTTTTTCAAACGCATGCAGAAATACATGCGGCATATGCACGGAGCATTTTCAAAAATCCTTTGATTGTATAGAGGTTCGAAGTGTATTCAAGTTGTTTCTGAATAAAATTCATCTTTTACCTTGGAGATATTTGCTTAAAGTTCCTTTTTATCATCAGTGCACTAAATTCTGATGACATCATGTCAAAATTGCACCTGTCAGAGACATTTCTTACTTCTTTGATCAGTGCTTTTTTGAAACTGGCATTCGTTTTCAAATAAAAGCAAAAATAACAAAATTTGAACATAGAACCCGACAAGTAAGCAATCAGTGAAATTCATTTAGCGCATTGTTTTCGCCCTTGTGCATGAGACATTGCATTTTTCTTAATGATAGTGTCAGGCAATTTCTTCATCTGAAAAATTATAAACTCACCTATGAAACCTTTGGTAAAGTCATACAAAAATCAAGAACTGGAAATTAAAAATTGATAATTCCAAAATGATTCAAGTTAAATCTGAAGCCAAATTTCGTCAAAAAAGTCCTTTATAGATCTCTGGCACCGCATTATTTATGTAGAGGTAAATCGAATTTTGAATACTGAGGTGCCGTACTTTGATGCAGCGGTAAAAAAGTAAAAATGCAGGGTAAAAAAGTAAAAATTTTATTTGCTGTGAAATCGAACATTACCAAGATGGAATTCTGCCTGATATCTTCCTTGTTGTGTAAGAGTGGACTTCCGGTAAACGTAGCTTCATCACCTAAAACAGTTGTAGAATGATTTTAAGAATTGAAAAATCTTATTTAAGGATCGTATTTTTTAAAACTTTTACTAGCCGTATTCCAAAATATCACAAAAAGTGTGATATATGCGAACAGAATACTTCCTCCTAGAGTAAGATGTGTACAAATATACACTGATAACATCTGCGCCAAATCCTTGATAGCCTATAGTTATAGTCAAAACGATCCGTGATATCCAGATTTGTATCACTGTAGAAGAGGAAAGAAGGAAAACTCTGCACCTAAAAGTGATAGGGGCTTACACGAAAGCAAAGATAGCTCCAACGCACTGCTGCAGAGTCGCCGGCATGGCAAAACTAGTCCCCAATCAACCTAATTTAAAAACAAGGAAAAGTAGAAAAGAGTGATTATACGGATGAATCAAACATTTTATCCTTACTTTGTTCACATTTTTTATCATAGTCAGTTGTAGGACCATTAGAATAATTCGGTATCCCACCACCTGCAAGATCCAGGAAGTGTTGTGCAATATTTGGTTCGTTGTGAGTTGAAATATTCAGCAGCTCCCTAAGGCATGCATTCTCTGTTGCAAGCCTTGCAATTAACTGCAGCAAGTTCTTTTTTTAATCAAATAATAGGTGAACAAGAAAATTAACAACAAATTGGTCTGATGCACAACTCATTGTCATCTCTGATTGGGAGCGGCTTGTTTGGTTAAAATGAATCGCCAGTTATCGTTATGGCTACAAACAAAAAAAAAAAACTAGAAGATTTACAGTGTGACAAAACAAGAAGTGAGGTCTAACAAACTATTATCTACTTTTGAAAAGAGATGACTGGCTCCAAAATTACCTATGCGGGCAATCAATTTAAAGAAATATTAATAGCCAAAATTCCAAAATCTGGGCTAAATGACACTTAGCTTCAAAAAGCAGTACTAAAGCACAAAGGATAGAAATGAAATAATAACTTCTTGATCATGATTCGAAACGCTTTCACCATCCGCAAGACATTCATTCAGTAACCTTGAGAGATTGACGATTTTTTCGTTTATAGAGTCTTCACAGTTCCTGCTATCCCGCTACAAAAAAAAATATATCGACACTATTTTCAAATAAAATATGAAAGAACCAGAAAAAAAAACCTGAAAATAACACCAAAATAATGAAGATAAATGTGATAAATTTGCTAGCACCTAATTCCTCACCATAAAAAATGAAATATAAAACTCTAACTTACTGCGATTGAGGTTTGGAATGGTAGAAGAAATTGCTTCGCAAGCTTTGTTACAACATCCCTATGCTTTTGCATTACTAACTGCAGGGTATTTTCGCAATCTTCCAACGCTTGTCGAAGTTCTCTAAAAAATTCATTTGTATAATACGTTGTAGGAATTTCGAATTAATTTCAATATTATAAAATTCAAAAGGGAAAGTTTACTTCCCCTGTGCAATGACGTGTAATCATAAAAGATCATTCTTTGCTACTCAAAGCTACAGGTGTAGCACTGGCACAGAATACAACAAAAAGTGACAGAATCATGTAAACCGAACGAGTTTGAGATATTTACTATTTAATATAAAAAGTTTAACCATTAAATGAGGACAGCCAATCATGCCAATTCTAAATTAACAACGTACCTATTCTCCTGCTGTAACTGCAAGATTTGCCGATTTTCCTGTTGCAAGCCGGCAACAAGTACTCTGCGACCCTGCATTCGCCAGCAGTCATTCATATTTGCCACTTCTTCCTGGTACTTCAAATGACAAACACACAATTTCCTCAAAAACTCTTCAAACAGCAATAATGGTGGTGCTAGTATTTGCCCCGACCGTCAAAGTTGCAATCCAAGTTGTACTTCCCTTGCTGACCACAATTTTTCACTTCTTTTTTAGTGCAGTAAAGGGTTACTTAAAGATTCTGAGTGTTTCTTTAAGTAATCTTGATTGAAACTATTAAAGTAATTTTTCGCCTGTGCAGCTGGCTTCTGCTTAATTTTTGATGTGAGTCATGTTCATTCCTTTCTTGTTCACACTTTGAAACATCAGTTCAATTAATTTTTTTAAAATATCTTCCTTTAAACGACATTTTCTTCTATATTTGGAAAGCAAATAAGAATCAACTTAATTATAAATATAGAATACTCCAATGCCGGTAAGGTCTTGCAAAAAGTAGGCCTTAGTGTATATAGAAACTCTATCCCATAGGCACAATAAGTGAAGCAACATAAGTCATTCTCGTCACTTTCATATGGGAATTAACAATTGTAAGATATCCCTAAAAAAGTTTCCTTACCTCTTTCATACCAGAAATTTTGTCATTAACAATCTGACTTTTTGCAAGTGCACTATCCGTAGCACGTTCACGTGTTTGTAAGTTGATGACAAGCTGACGCATATCAGCCATTAACTGACCGATACTTGTCGAGCTCATCGCTGAAAACAAATTAGAAATAATCTTCTCCACTGAAAGCGATAATACATTCAATAAAACCGACCGAGAATTTAACTAAATCTGATGTTTCGGATTTCAAACCTCGGGAAGGTACTAATCCCTTGCGTTACCAGCAACCTCGAACAAACTTTTTCCAGCAGTGATAACACGCATGTGATGATGGATGAAGCAGTCCGCAAGTAATTAAGCAAGTCAATAAATGAATGTTCGAAAAAATAATTGAGCGAGTCAATTCTTATCCAAAGCAATTGATCGCATCAAAAATGTAAGAAAATTCCTCAAACTTACAGCGTAGCTTTTGCTGATAGAAGCGATAATCACTGCTACTTTATGTCATCCGTTCTGTAAGGAACTTTGAAACCTAAATTAATAAAGTATTGATTGAAACAAAGTTTTCCTCTTCTCTCTCTCCCCACCTTCCAGTCTTACTTATAAAACTACCGTGATCGGAAGGAACTGTTACACCCACACCAATACACTTACTAACTTGTACAGAACCACAAAGACACATACACACATACATGCACACACGCACACACACACACACACACACACGTCCACATACACAAGCATACACGGAACCCACCAAATTTCTTGGTACTTCATAGTAACACTTCCAAACAATGCACATGGTCGCTATGCAAAAGCTTCATCCCATATGAAGTTCTTATAAGAAAAGTAGTCGAGAATGAGATTGGTGGAGGGAAGGATCAGAGATTGCTTGCAGAAAATTCAGATACTTCACAAGTGTTACTGTCCTTCAAAGAAATGTGGATACTCGGGCACTGTCACCCATGGCAAATTACGGCGATCTTGATTTTCTCGTGGATTTATCTTTTTTTTGTTGGATTTACTGGGTTACCATTGATTGGTGGTGAGACACTAATTTCTATAGTTCATCATTTTATTTGTCGATCAAGATTTGAAACTGTAACCAAGCTTTGAAAAATTGCTCTAGTTGAATTCTGAGACAGATTGCATGGTAAATATAGCAGGGCCAAGACAAAATATTGAGATTGTCTAAACTTGCCGTTTCCGTTTCTACCTAATCCGATTTTTCATATCGAAATTAACGTCAGGAGATTAAATTTTGTCATATGAAACAGTCATGCTAAAATGAATAGAATTTTGATGTAGTATTTTCATGCGGTAAATCCATCGTGGAACTGAAAGTTAGGATAGCTGTTCTATATGAGCTTTTCTGAAGTCATACCTTTTTCGTCGCTGGAGCTTCATCTGGAACAGACCTCATGTAGTCAAATCTCTTGATTTGTTTTGTGTAAAAATTCCTTTGCTTAAAAAAACTTTTTAATAGAATACACTGAAGATGCAAAATTGTTTGCAAGATTATTAAGTGAAAAGAAAGCCTGAATACTGATGTCACAGTAGTGTCAGTCCATACTTCCGTAATGCGATGGATTGATCAATATGAATTATCCACTTCGATACACTTCCTTTTCGCTGTTAAGTTATTCCAAATTACATTTCCTAAAAATGTTGAAAAATAAAGAACAAATTACAACACTTGTGATTGAAAGAGAACACCGTATCGCATAGCAGATGTTCGCAAAACTGATACAAATACCTCCATTTCGCGTTCATCACAATCGGTAGCACTTTTATACGTTTTTCTTTTGTTTTAAATGTGTGAAGAATTAGAACTTAAATCAGAACAAAAAGAGTCATCAAATCGATGCAATAGGATGTGATGAAGTGAAAAAGTTTTGTTAACCATACAGATCATTTGATCCCCGAATAGATGTCACATTTTCGAGTCTTATTTTCCATTAACTAGTATAAGTTGTCAGCGAAGCCGAAAAAATGTTATAAGTGGTTTTAATTAGAATTCCGAATATCTCTCAGATAAATGATTTGTTGAAAAAAAAAAAGTAAAATAAATATTTCGATACCCAAAGTGATGAATCATTTATCCAAATCCAACTTTTCCAATTTTTTTAACCAATTTTTAATTGCAATGTTTAAATGTTGCGAACAGAGCCATTTGTTGTAAATTTTTCCCAATCTGTTAATCAAGCTTACATGCAATTGTTGGAATGTTGTAGAGAACTTATGCGTAAATATTGAAATCTTATAAAGAACCTCTAGCCTGGTAGTTAAGCTAATGTGTTTAAATTGTTAAGCTACTCCCGCTATATAAGAAGCAGG